GCTGCAGCCAAGTATGGGTTTCCATTAGCTACAAAGTATGTGACTTCTTGGGGTGTATTTCAACAAGTACTTCCCCTCGGAGTAGGAGAAATTCTTTTCTCTGATAACTGGAGAATTACTGAAATGGGAACATCACAAGACCCAAGAGAGCAGAAGTTGCGCAAGTGAGAGCAGAAACAATTTGTAGTCCGTTTTTTATTGACACCCATTTAACATCAGTCACTAATTGGAAAGAGGAAGATCTTCCTTAAAGAGTCTGCTCCTTTCAGTTACATTGTAAACAACCCTGAAAGCTCTCTGAGATTCGTAGCAAAACCAGGGAATATCAGACTGGACATTCTTGATATTTCTAAGGTAAAAACAGGCAGGAAAAGAAAAAATGTTCAGGCCTTCTTTATCCATCAGCAAGAAGTAAAAAAGGGCACAAGCACAATATTTTAATCATCCTTTGCAGGTCACCTTTAAAACAAGGGTTATATTGGGCTCCTAATTACAGAAATGGATCAGAGTTCCTAACTGATCAGTGTTTCGAAGATCAACCAGCACAGCTCCGAACCAGTAGGTTAAGGTGGAAACAAGTTGGCAGGAAGTGTGGGGAAGTTTGCATTACTTCTATCTGTGCCAGTCCTTCTCTGTGGGGGTGGGGAATCGTATTTCCCATCATCACAATTCAATACACAGGCTTTTGAAAGGCACTTTGCCTACATCAGGTCACTATTTGGGGAGAGAGTTTTCATGCAGCTCTAATGGCTTTGATTCCTTCCTTGAAGTCAGTGCTCCTGCCTTCTCTCTTTCCACAACTTCCTTAACAAGAAGTATGTTAACGTAGCTGGTCCTGCATCTTCTGCTCCCAACTCCTGCACTGGGAAAAGGCACAAGTGAGCCAGTCAGTAAAAGGCTGAGCTACAAGATCAGCTCCTTCCCGTGCTGTTGTGTAAGTTCCCCATCTGCAGCCAGCCATTAAGCCCACTGGCCCCCTAGGTCAAACAACTGACCAGAAAGCAAACAGCTGACGGTCAGAGCAGTTCATGCTCAGCGTGTCCTCTTAAAGGGCACGCTCCTAATCAGGCCCTTTGGAGTGGCTGGACCTGCTTGACCCAATTTGTGGGGTTTGGATGGGTCCCATGGGTCAGTGATTTTCCACTTCTAGTTGTTGGTCTGACCCACAAGCTGTGGGTCACTGGGAAGGTGTGAGCCAGCCTTCTGAACTCTGAACCCACCAGGAGCTAACAAAAACAGAGCAGGAGGGGGAAAGAATTTCATTAGGGCCTCTGCCGAGAGAAAATGCAGAGTTGTTTTGCTTCTACTCAGAAATGAACACCGTGTCCAAGGGGCTGCAATTGAAAAGGTGTTTGGTTTGGCTTATGGGTTTTGTTTTTTGTTTTTTTTTTTAAAGAAAAGTAATAACATACACAAGCAGACTGTATAAGGTCAGATGAAAATTGAGGTGCTTCAAAGTGGCAATGCATTCGCTCTCTGGAATCACCATTATTAGAAATTGCCCCCAAATCTCCCTTTATTCGTGTGAGTGCAGCTTTTCCTGGTGACGGCATTTCTGATGCTGCAGGTTGCCTTAAAAATACTGACTTTCTGTCCACTTAAAAAAAAATAATAAAAGGGACGTTCGGGGTTGGTCAAGCGCCAGCTATTCTTTCCTTTTCTTCGTCTTACAAATTCTCAGCTGCTGGTTAATGTGACGTGGGGACTGGGGGCTTCAAAAAGTGCTTCGAACCACTCTCTGACTCCCTTTTAAAATCACTAATGCCAACAGGCCTGGATTTGGGAGGAAATCACCCATAATAAACCAACAAGCATGAGGCAGGGGAGGGGAGAGAGTAATAGAAACATAGAGCTTAAGGCCAGTAGGGATCATGAGATGATCTAGAATGAATCATCAGGGAATAGTTCAGTTTCAACATCCAGCGCTTATTATAAATAGGAACAATGGCCTGGGTATTCCCCTCCCCTCCTTTCAGAAATACCCTGGGGAAGTGAGCTGGGCAAGGGGGGCTGACACATCCACAAGGACCCTTTGTTGAGTTTCCCTCAGCTGGTTCTCCTCAGAGGTCGCCAGCGGAGCAGAATTGCCAGGGCTCCCTCAGCCTTCCCTGCCCACAGAGACTCCCTTGAAGTGTTCGTGGCTTTGTATCCGAAGGGTGGCGGAAGCTGCAGAAGTATTAACACGCCGACTTTTCCGAAGCCTCTGTGTGAAGTGGAACCATGCCCGGCTCTACCCACTCCTTCCCCAGCCTGACCACCCTCCAGCTGCCAATCCCGACCCCATAGGTATAGCTGAGCCATTTGTACTCCACCCCCAGAAGAGGTGAAGAGGGGCCTGGAGAGGGAACGCTCTGCATGGGTAAAATTGGCCATCATACCTGATCCCAATACTTTTACGGTGGAACCTGGTTTCTTCCTTCCCAAATGTTACTCTGAAGGGTTCCACATCCCCAGCACACTCAACTCTCCTGAAAAGACGCCATTCCCTATAGGCGCCGACTCCGTGGGTGCTCCGGAGCCAGAGCACCCACCAGCAGCCCTGCCAATCAGCTCGAACCCCTCCTTCCCAGTACCTCCTGCCCACCTTCATCAGCTATTCAGCAGGGTGCAGGAGGCACTGGGGGGGGAGGAGGAGTGGGGGCGAGGTGGAACGAGGCAGGGGCTTGGGGGAAGGGGTGGAGTGGGGGTAGAGGCCTCCCCCCCCCGGAAACAGAGGAAGTCAGCGCCTATGCTCTACAGCCTCCTACCCTTCCTCCACGCTGTGTGGATACTTAATGCTCCTTCTTTGCCACATCCAGACCCTTGAAGAGTGAAGGCCTGTTGAGGGTGCAACTGGTGATGCACAGCAGCTTGTTCCAAGAGCAACTCTAATTGCAGCTTTAACAGAATCTGTTTCCCACCAATTACATTTGAAATACTTTAAAATCATAAGTTCAGCTTTCCATTAAGGGCCCAATTCAAAGCTGCCCAGATTCCCACTGGGTTTTGCATCTGTCCTAAGCACGTTTGCATTATTTTGATTTTTTTAAAACACGATTAGCAAAAATTCTGTCTAATGATAACAGCTACGAAAAATTACATTAAAACATATGACCATTATCTTGACAAATATCCTTTTAATCATTGCACGTCTCTCAAGTCTTGAAAAAAGAAACTAATGCCAAGTATGACACACTAACTTTTGTTTCCTTTGTTTTATTCCTTGACACACAACTGCTTCCACTTTTAATTTCTCTTGCACATAAACACAAGCTTCCAGTTGCAAGATATGGTGTGGATGGCTCGTCCACCAGTCTTGTCATCATTCCGACCACCTCTGATAGAAATACATGGTGCAAGCCTTTGGCTTGCTGTGGAAGTTAGACTTCGTTGCAAGGCCTATGTGTGAGAGTAGAGATACCAGTTGTCTGAACACATGTGGGTTAAGAGTCCTTTTAGTATCTCAGAGAGTGGTTTCAACCCCTTTAGCACTTTGCCTGGACTGTCTCATGAACAAAACAGGAGGGCCTGTCTTTTATAATGTTCTGTTTTTAAAGCAAAACATCTCTGGGGACTGTAGGGTCCTAAAAGTCCAAGGCCTGGAATTCTTCCTTTCTCTCTTTCCATTTTAAACAGGAAACATTTGCACTAAGCGATTCCAGGGGGAATGTTGTAGGTTCATTTCAAGGCAGATAATGTTTGTTCATTGCCTATGTCTGTGATTTACCCCATGGGCTTAAACGAGTGCAGCAGAAAACCACATGTTGTGTTTCACTTCATGCAAAACAATTTTCGATGGCATCTGGGAGGGGAGCCCGGGTTAAGAAATGAGAAGCATGCTTATAAAATCCCTGTGTGAACAAAAGAGAGAGTTTTGTGGAGGAAGTGAAAGTCATCAGCAAATTGGACACCTGATATCTTTTACAATAGAGATTTTTTTTTTAATAAATCCACAAAAATGTATTTCAACAACAGCTGATGAGTGTAGTCCTGTGCCCCTAGGGCAGGTGTGTCTAATTTACATTTTCAGTCTTCTCTTTGGGTCAAAATCCTGCAGTTCCTTCAGCTTGTCCTCGGGCAAAAAATTCCACTGAAGTCAATGAGAGGTTTTGCCCTAGTGAAGTATAAGGACATTTGCAGTCACAACGGTAAAACTCCTAATTGTGCTGAACTGTTGTGGATGCTGCAGTGACATATCTATGCAGAACAATTATTTTTGCCATTTAGAAGTATCACATGTTAAACTATTCTAGGGAGAAATATCAATCCCTCATTAGTGTAAATCATGGCATTTAAGACACAGAAAGGTACAGAGGGGACTTTATAGCACATCCTCTGGGATTACATGTTCACATGTTGCTTTTCACATGCACCAGAGCTTGCCAAACCCTTATGGATGCAGACAAGTTACAGAGCAGACTTAACATCAGGCTCTCCAGCTCACAGGGGGGTTTTGAAACCTCACTGGTGGCTAGCCCATTAAACACAGATACTGTATCCTAACATCCCTGTTGTTTCTTCCAGGAGTTCCAAGATTTCCAACTATGGTGTTTTGAGAGTTTTACGGTCTGACATGTTAGAAGAAAAAAGTGGGCCAGGGCTGGGAGGTGTGATTATTTGTGCACATACGGCTTATGGGATTTGCAAAGCTGTAGCCCAAACTCATCTGTTTATCCTCAGGCTAGATAAGACACAGTCAAACACACATTGTTTGAAGGATCTTTGTTTCCATTATGGCAAATGGATCAAAGGAGGCTGGCTTTGTGAGCTGCAGGGCTCTTCCTTTGTCAGTGGGCTGTGATGGGCGCAGGACCCTTGCGCCCAGTATCCTGTGAATTAGAAATACTGCATCATGTAGCTGGGAGGGTTTTTTTACTCTCAAGTTCTGTTTTGACTCATCAGGTCAAGTTACTGCTGAGGTGGCATTTCCTGTCCCACATTCAATGTAGAACTTGAACGACAGTGTGTTGCTGGCTTGGAATACTGCTTTATTTATCTAGATGTATTTTCTTCCTTCCCAGGTGTGGCCCAGTAGAACCAGTGGAGTATTTAACAGGGCCCCGAGTGATATACAAAGAGCGAGATCTTCCATACTACCAAGGAGGGCAGCCTGCTGTCCACCCCTCTAAAGGAAACTACTCTCGTGCACAAGACATGAGGGCAGCAGAATTGCGGTATCCCCAGTATTACCCAGGCCAACAACTAACCACCCAGCACAAGGGACCCCTCCGCCAGGATGTCCCACCTTCACCTCCCCAACCGCACAGAGTGCCAGCTTATAATGAAATGGGCCGAACAGGACAGCGTGGGAGCAGCCCGGATCAATACCAATATAGACATCAGGATTCCAGGCAGAAGAATCCCATGACTGCAGCTGTATAGCCTGAAACTGGACTTTGTCAACATGGGCTGGGATGGAGAATTCCTGACATTCCCTTTTTTACAGTTGGTCCTAGCAAGCTTAACAGCATGTAGGAATGGCACCTTAACTGGAATCGTTCTTACTGAACCTGCCTCAGGATAGGTTCGTTTTCATAGGAACCTTGGGCCATATCAAATTAAGAGACTGTGTCTTTTAGGTACGTGCGTTGCCAGACAGTCAAATGTTTTTAACACCAGTTAAAAATAGAAAGTGATGGCTGAAAAGTAAGTGTAACTGTTAGTACAGCTCAGGGCTATTTACCACATCTGGCTACACACACACACACACACACACACACATACACAGCGCGCCCTCTGTACAAGACCAGTGGTGATACCACCAGAGTCCATTTTGGATCCACACCACAGGAGTATTATATCACAGAAGCCTTCTGGTGACCTGACACTGTGTTCAGGGCAGTGCTGCTCTTCTCAGGGTCAGAGAGTCTTGTGTAATCTAGTGCCGTGTGCAGTGGTGACTTTACCAATGACTTCCCTGCTGTCTCACTCCCACTCGGACCAGCAGTTTTTTATTTTGAGAATGCCGTAGTCATTGGTTTTTAATCTTGCCTGTATCTTCCTCTTTATGCTTGTTTGCTGGAGCATGCATCTGGGAGCCCGCATTTTTGGTAGTTCTGCATCAAGCTTATCCTCTTTTCATATTGCAAATAACACAGTGGGGCTAAAATGAACTAAACTTCCTCAGCCGTACTTGGGCAGTTTAGAGAGTATTCATAGAACTGTCCTACAGGATCATTAGGGGATGAGGCAACCATCTGAAAAATGTCTGTCTGTCTGTTCCCAGGTGTACGTAGATTATGCAGTGCACAGCTCTTAAATGTAAGGCCTAGGGGCCAGGTGCGCAGCAGCTTTCAATGAGTGTAGCTTCCTTGACTTCAGTGGAGCTAATCCTATTTATACCTGCTGAGGATCTGGCCCGAGGTGTGACGTACAGTAAGTGCTATTAAAGTTGTTACTCCATCAAGTATTCAGATGGATCAGGGAGGGCAGAGCCTGTACTTGCCCCCACTCTAGTCAGGTTTGCACAAAGGTGTCTGCTGGCATATCAGTTAATGAATTCTGAGCCTGCAGTTGTAAGCTTCTATCCTATTCTTCTGCTGTCACTATGCATGGCTCCCACCGTTCGAATTGTCACCTCTTAATGCAGGGCCCGCTGCTGATCATTGCAAGGAAGCTCAGGCTCTGGCAGTGCCGATACTGTGCGAAGTGCCAAACAATGCCAATTCGCCTGGCAGTGCTCCACACAGCAACTGGAAAAGGGGGGTGGGGGGGAGGCGTTAGGCTTTTAAAAGCAACAGGGGATGGAGAAGAGAATGAGGATAACAGAGGAGAGATTGCTTTAGAAACGTTGGGGGCAAAGAGAAAAGGAATGAGAATGGTTTAAACAATTAAGGTTTTTTAAAACAATTAGGCGAGGAGAGGAGAGACGCTGAGGTTGATGGAGAAAGAGAAAACAAGGGGAAGGGCAAGTGGGGCGGGAGGGGGAGAAGGTAGGAGAAGGACCTAGCTTCTTTCCCCCAGCTCTCTGCAGACATTAGCTCAGGGCTGCTCTGGCCTTAAGGAGGTAAATGATGCTCTGAGGCAGTTTGAAATGTGCCTCCCAGCCATGCGACTTCCCAACTCCACAGACATTTGCTGCGCAGTCTAACCGGGCGTCAGATGCTTGGATGCTTTGCTCAATGATTTGTCATGCTAAGCATTGCTTAGGGAACCACAGAGCCTGTAACTAGGAACACATTTTAAGTAGCTTCTGAGTGTCCGTAATTCTTCAAGCTCTGCCTTTGGAAGCAACAGAAGCTCGTTTGGGCCCCTCTCCTCTGAGGGAGAGGTCTGGGACCTGGCCTGGCTGACGCCCTTTGGTATGCAGCAAATGCATCAGGATTCATTGCACAGGTCACCTCCCAGTTATAGATCACACGCAGGGTCCATTCATCTGGTGCGTATCCCTTTATCAGGACTGGTAAGGATTCATTTGATCTCTAGAGACTGGCGCATGGTGTATCTGAGTCTCACACAGGTTTGCACAGCTGCATTCCAAGGGGCTCTTCCAACCACTAGATGCATTCCCATTCCACTGTAAACACTGTGTAGGGTACATGCCACACACAGCCTTGTACTTCTTTGAACGAGCTTTCTGTACTGGGTGGTATACTCGGTTAATAAAGATTTGGCAGCCACAGGGTAGCTGCTAGTGACATGAACGTCCACCTAAAGCGAAGTGAAAACAAATTAAAATACTTTCCTTTCCTCTTTTGAAATACAGCCCCAGATACATTTGATCCAGCTGTAAAGAAACTAATACGTTTGTGACAGTGGCTTGATCAAGCCAGACCACAATTAAGAACAGCTCTGAATATAAGCTACTGCCTTATCATTCATTACCTACTAACCCTTCAAATGCTCCTCAGCACAGCTTACAGAACTCATGTACAGTATTTCATGAGCCAGGGCCAAATAAAAACAGGATGGAAACAGCTTCTGGGTTATTTATGGCCTTTGAAGGGCTTGCTCAATTGTCTCTCTGTAACCTGAAACCTCCTGTGGAGGCTCACATTGACTGCACTGGCACCGCTTGGTTTGGGCCGACAGATCAAACGAGCACCTTCCGAGTTGTTAATCTTACCCAACAGGTTACACAGACGAGACTTAACAAAAAGTAGTGGATACTAGTATAATATATGGACACATCGTACACTGCTGGAAGCTATGAAGGAGAAAACGTCTGACCTTGCTGGGGGACAGGAGCAAAAGGTATTACAGACCATCTCATTAATCTATGGTGCCGGTCTAGGAGAAAATTGCCATTTGCTGGTTTAATATCTTGTAGAGGTACGGTATTTGCAAAGCATGATATATAACTACTGTATATATAGTCTGCTTCTGTGCAATGTAAAATGTATGATTTTAGCACCATATTGTGGAAAATATGTACTGTGCAAATTTCACGAGGTGCTACAACTGACAGTTGAAAATACACCACTTTCAAAATCCAAAAGAGCCGTTCAGTAACAGGTTGCTCTTTTCCCCATATGTCCATATGTTTTGGAGTGTTACGTGTCTGAAATGCTCTTGACACATAGTTGCCTCACACTCCTTCATCAAAAAATGTGCCAATCCAGCAAAAACCTTCCTGCCATGAACTGAGTTTGCAAGGAGCGCCCAGGTTGCTGCTGGAGCCAGAACATGGTACATTTGCACGGTGGCATGAGTCAAGATTAAACAAGAGCAACCTGCTTACATGCCAGGAGGGCTGCTCTGACTCCCCAAGCTGCTGTGCTGGCTGAGTTGCATCATCGGTTTCTGATTCTGGTAAAGGGGCAGTTGGGCAGTGAAGGATTTAGAGAGACAAATAGAAACCAGTGACTTGCTGAGTGACCGAGCACTAGTGATCCACTGACATTGGCCCGTGAGGAACCATTACCACTGTGATAACTACTATTATAAGGAGGCTCTGTGGGCACTCCTGCAAAGATGTCTTTGTGAAAAACGGAGGGGACCCAAGAATAAAAACAACCACTGTCCCTAAATAATGCCTGCAGCCCTGAACACCAGCTCACACAAACGTCCTAAACTAGAAATAGCTTCACATGCTGCCTAATTTTTGTACAGAGTGAAAGTGCTACCTCTTCCTCCTCATCATCATCATCAGCATCCTCAATGATTTGCTTTTCAGACAGAGAGAGTTCTGCGTAAATCCCATTACTCTTCTGGGGCCTGATCCTTTCCACTGAATTGAAGTTGCTTATCTCCTCCCAGGGTGAGGCCCTATCCTGCAGTCTCGATTGCAGTTGTTTGTGAGAGTATTCTAACCTTACGTGCACCGTCTGGAGAGCGCCGTTTACTATCAACATATAATAAACCAGGACGTTTTGTTTCTAAGTCACTTTTCTATTATTTCTTCGCTTTTTTTATGATACTTGACTATGGTTGTGTGTGTTGAATAAAAAAATATAGTGAAATCATTGGGGGGGAGGATTCAACACCAAATTTGAGAAAAAATTTTGGTACCATAAATGATTTTGCATTTTTTGTTATATATAACTATATAAATTTTACCTGTTTTATTTTGCATTAAAATAAAGGCTTTAAGACTACAAACTACCATCTATTTGCATATTGATTCTCTCACTTCTTTGCATTTCTGAAGGCATCATCTTCTTGGGTTGTGATCTGGCGTGGTCAGGATTAGTGGGAGAACTTCAAGGAAAACCCACCATTGCTGCAGAAAATGGTGATAATGACTCATTACACTTAAGTTTGATTCCCTCAGAGCCAGCTTTGAATCAGTGCTCCAGCTTTGTGGTATGGGATGCTCTGCTGTTGGACATTCCATGTTCCAGATGAGTTGTAAAACCAAGGTCCTGATCCCATGGCACTTTTCACAGAGATATTAGCTTCTGTCACCTGCTGACTGACCCCTTTAAGAGGGGACAGGCTCCAGCGCACCTGTGACTGATTACCTGCTGCCCAGTTGGGCTTAAGAGAAGGCACCTGAGCCTTGTAGATGAAGCTGTGGCAGAGGCTGCAGAAGAGTTGCAGCAAGCAGGAGGTGCCTGTAGGAGACCCTTGACTGGAGGAAGGGTTTTGAGGCTGGAAGCCAGACCTAGAAATCTGAGCTCCAGCTAGGAAGGGCTAGGAGTGGCTTCGTGAACAGCAGGCTGGGACAGAACAAGAGCTCTGGATGTGGTAGAAGACTCCAGAGAATGAACTTTGCAGATGTGGAGACAGCCTATATTTTGGAACCTTGAGTCTTGCTTTTGAACTGTTCCTGTAATTCAACCAGCCCCAGGCAGGGGTGATGTCAGCCATAAAAAAGTCTGTGTGGAGTTCCTAAGGGCCCTGAAGATGGGGAAACTTAGGCAGGGCTCGAAAGGGGGCGCATAAGAGGTGGTCAACTCTGTTACAGCCATGACCAAATTCCAGTTTCGGCAGCTACATTTGGCCTACCTAAATTCCCCCCACCATTTCAATTCAAAGCAGAATTCATCATTTCCTGTTCTCAACTGAAGCGTAGTGTTGCTGTGTGTTATGTAACAGCTACCCCATTCCACCCCAGCTGAGGTTGCATTTCAATGAGATGGGTGCAGTGCTTCCTTTACATACATTTCAGAACCCTTGAAACTCTGATGCAGGTGCTTAACTTGAAGTATGAGAGTCGTCCTATTAAAGTCAATGGCAAACTACTTACATGCTCAATGTTATGCACACATGGAAGCATCAGGGCCATAGTTTGTATAGTACATTGGCATCTGTTCAGATGTAATAATTAAATTCTCCAAACCGAATATAAAGATGTTCAGTGTTTAGGAGGAAAGTCACTAGGCCAGGGAGCCACTAAAGATGTATCACTTTTATGAATAATGTTCTCGGTGTTGCTTCTAAGAAACATAGGAAATGGAGAAAGAGGACAATGAGACAGTGGAAATGAAGGACTGAAAATAGGGAGGGTTTACAAAATGGGGTATATCAAAAGTCATGACTGTTGTTTATTAAACACTTGTGCAACACTCAAGAAAATTCAGTACAAGTAAATGCAGATTGTCATGTATCTCCATGTGGATGGAGTAAACACCCTACACAGGCCCTGAATGGGTTAATACAGGCCAGAGAGGCCACTTATGTTATCTGGCTGCACCTGGAGA